ATATTTATATTTATATTTATATAAAAATTTTTTTTTAAAACCCAATAAAAGCCTTCCCCAGCCATTATTAGTTAATGATCAGTTTCTTGTCCATACCAGTGTATTTCTAACTTATTAGTTATCCACATGTTCCTGCAGAAAATGTGTTATTGTATTTTATTTATTATAGTATCATATTTCAAACATGTTAAAACATATTTCACTAAAGCAAAAGGTGCCACATTTACAGCTGTACTAGCCATGAAATTAAATAAAGCATGATATGGTAGATTGTAAATATATTACATATTTCAAAAACATTCATGTCATGAACTGAGGTTTTTGCATAGAAATTGGTGATAATTAGTTACAAAAAACTAAATTTTGTTATTCTTTTACCAGTTCAGCTATCTTAGAAAATAGAATTCAGAAATGTTTACTTGCCTCTCTGCAAAACAAAGAACTGTAACCTTTCCCCACTGCTTTAAGATATTTGTACATGCCACAAGCCTTGAACAAAGCCTCCACACATTAATATCTACTGTCCCAGCCTATGATGTAATCATCTTTAGACACATCCTTCGTGCACAGTAATCCTCATCAGCAATATCATTTGGACAAAAGCTTTTTCTTCCCTTGCCACAGCTATGTCTAGGTGTGTTTTTCTTAGGAATTAAAGGCATTCAACTTATTATTTTAGATTTCATTAGCATTTTTATTGTAGTCTGTCTGCCTTTAATTTTTTTGATTATGAGAAAGAAGGATACCAAATTTTAAATATTTCAATTAGAACTTTGATTCTAATTATCTTCATTTTTTTTTGTTTTACTTCTAATTTTGGGGCAAGTGTCTCATTGTCTGTGATAATATTTCTTCTACAGTACCTTTTTCAATTCTTTTAAACCGACATATGGGTTTCATTTCATTCTCTTCATTGTCATCATTAGGCCAATCACCAAGGCCTATGCTTCATCGACATAACAAGCCAATTCTTTTGGATCATCACAATTACAAATTTATGTTTTCACATTTCTGACATCTCCCGAGGTTCTGTATTCCTCATCATCATCTAATACTATAATGGTGATTGGAGGCACTCTGACAGTCATTGATGTTACCACCAGGTGGTTGGTTTCATTCTGATTTTGAATCAGGGATTCCTGACCTTCTGCTTCTGTGGTTAATCTTGCATTATCTTTCAATAAGTTTCACATAGTTAAACATGCAATTGACAACCCTTCTCTTTGAGTTGACTATGGCCCCATATGTTTTCCATTGTGTTTGATAGGCTTTCAGTTGGAGGTTACATTTCAGAGGCTTTCTGTTCCACTGTTCTGTGGATGCTTGGTCTCTTACTCGCCCCATCCAACATGGCTTCCACTTTTGCAACTTCCCTTCTCCTTTGGGAGTCTTATTGTATGGTATGGTTGGTTCGGCTTTCTGTAATTCAGTCTTAACCAAAACCCTGTATATCTTTCACATGGAGATATTTCTCAATTTGTATACAAGGCAAGCTGTCTACTCCTTTATGTCTTTGAGAGATGAAGCTTCTGATACAAAGGGTCTCATGTCTCTCTAGTTTCCTGCAAGAGTGGATTTTGCTCTTTTGTGGACTTTCTTCTCTTGAGTCTCATGTATGTGTCAACATACACTAATTTCAGTGGATTCTGGAAAATCAGTGCAAATATATCCAAATATTCACTGTTTTTCACCACTTACTATCATAGTAGCTCATTTGGTCCCACATAACTCTGGATGTCCCTCTTCCCCCTACTCACCCAGGCTTGCATCTTTTTTTAGAGCCCCCAGGGCTTAGCAGTAAGTCTGAAGACTTATAACACTCGCATATGTATGTGTATTTATACCCATGCTGAGTTCAGCATAGATGGCACATTGTGCAGCTTTGTATTGGATGACAACCAAACTTGTCAACCAATGCCTCTGTTCCAAAAAAGGTGCAGTTCTGGACACCAGAGGAGCAGTTTCTATATATATCTATGTCCTTGAAATGTTGGTTGTTCAGCAGGCTTGCTATCACCATCATCATTTTCTTGTCTTCTTATCATGATCTATTCAGACATCTTCTTTGTTGTTTCAAACATTCACTGACAGGGAGGCACTTGCTCTAGACTATCTCTTTTGGTCTCGTGACCACCATGTTTGGTTGTTGGTCTATCATTTTTCAGAAGCTTAGACGCTGGTCGTGGATTAACTGTTGACTGTTTCACCTAGACTTGATCCTTCTCTGATGTTTTCAGTGGATTTACTTTCAGTATGTCCTATAATCACTGCCCACAACACCTAGCTTCCACTTTTTTGGTCTCCAATTCTAGATTCTTTGGCTGTGGCAGTGGAAAATCTGTATCTGGAGTGGTTCAATATTTTTATATACTTCAGACTTATGACAGCATCATGTGTATATCTGCCCTCACACCTAGCTAGTACCTGCTATCCCCATTCACAGTAACCTATTGTCCGGTCTATCATTGTTTGACCTTATGCAGATTTGATGATTTCTGTTTTGTCCAAGCACCTCTCTGACATTCTCCCACACACAAACTCCTCTCTTATGTTTTCGTCTAGTAAAGTAAGAGAGAACTCTTACTTCACCAGTCCCAAACCACTAAGTAGGTTGATATGGAAAGTTGCCCAGTGGGTCAGTGTAATCCTACTGGTATGAAACTAAGTGGACACACCCCTCAATAAAAAGTAGGACTGTGTTTTTACATGTAAGTGTTAGTAGAGGCCAGCTAGGTGGGTCTTGTGTTCTCCCTGCACCTTATTATTATTATTATGGTAAGTATCTCTAGCCACTCTACACACTCATGCTTAACTAAGTGCCTGTGAGATAATGGCTGGTTAAACATTCTTACATTCTACCCACCTATGTGACACTTTAGCACCACGTAGAAAGTTTTTTGACAATATCTTTTGTTGTACTACCTCAATTGGGCAAAGAGTAATCTTTACATGATATAGTGTGATCTTCCACAGAGTGATACCCTGCTGTGCTATCCCACCTAGTAGGTGACATGCTCCATGGGTTTTCTGTTTCTGATGCTATGTTTCAGAAAGGAGTTCATCTTTGTAATTTCTTTATCTGCACTGGCCTCTACCAACTTCTCACTATGAGATTCCAGCTTTTTGTTGTGCAGTGAAGTGAATAAACATTTCTGAAATTAACATTTTCCTTACCTGAAAATGTATTTCATATATTTACTCGCATTCTCCCACCCTTCCTCTCCACTTCTGGTGCACTTATTTTCCCTTGTTAAGAATGAGCCTTTTTTCAAATGCTAGTGCTTATGGGGATTAATGCATATGGAGGATGTGTCACCTTCCTGTTGGTGGAGGGTCTAATGATGAATATGTCATAGGCTTGAGCAATACATGTTCGTACATGTACAGGTGGGAGCATCATTGTAGTTAATGACTTGTACAAAAATCTTAATTACTTTGTTGCAAAGTAATAGCTCTTTGTTGTGCAGAGAGGTGAGTAACTATCTAAAATACATTTACAGGTAAGGAAAATGTTAACTTTTGAATAATATATGGTGAAATCTCAGTTATTGTAAAGCCTTTAATATACATTTCTTCATTTATAAACAAAACCACTATTCATCCATAAGCATTAAAGTAAAACATTCGTTTAGTTCTGTAATATTTTAGACACATACAGTAAAATAGGTATCAATACTTGATAATTTGAAAACTGTTAATTATTCAGATAAATAGTAAAAATATGAAAATTATACATTACTTTATGTATTTACAAAAATAAAAAGTTATCATTTCTGTTAGTCTTTAAAATTTCATTCATACTGTATGAGATAAATTGATTGGTTGTGACTTGAATTAGAGTGACTGAGGTTTCTTTGGTTTTCAGTATTTATACCTACCTCTATGATTAATTTGAAATATCCAAAATGATTAAGTATATAACTGTTCTTATTCAACATTGTTAAATTACCACAGGGACTTGTACATGTTTGGAAAGAAAGTTTATGTGATTTTGTAATTATCAAGGAGAGTCTGATGGTAGACACTTAGAAGACTTGGAGACGCTGAAGTGGAAACCTAACAGTGATCTAACTGATCAACAGTTGGATCAATATTTTTCTGTAGCAAGGTTAGCATTTTTTATTTTTTGCTTTCTTTTATTTGATTATATACATGAATATATCAAATTTGAGTATATCTTTACATGGTTTCTGTTCATGAATATTAACACTGTATACTCATATTCAACTTATCCATTAAAACAGAAAAAATCTTATTTTCAATTATGTTAACTTATTTCAATTGACCAAGTCTTAGTATTTGTAAAAAAAAACACTAAACTTCCACTTTATGAATCCTGAAAAGCTTTAAAAAGTCTGTTTAAGCTAAATACAGACTATTCAGACTTTGATTTCATGTATGTATATCTAGAGAAAATGTATTCTTCTTTGTTTAATTTCCAATACTTGCTTCAGTTTTGATAGTTGGGTTTTATGACTTTTATGTGTAGTAAGCACTGTTATCAGTTTAATTACAATAATTTTCATGATTAACATTGAATTACAAAATATTTTTAGTAGGAACTAAAAATACCATCAGAAGCATATTATAAACAAATTTCTTGGTCATTATCACTGACTGCTGGTTTAATTGGTAAATTCCACATAAGGAGGGTTGTCACGATTATCATTTACTATGACTTTAAGGATATTGTGGTATTACTTTACTCATACATTGCCATCTATAGCACCCAGTTTAACTTAAAATCTCATGAGATTTCAATTGGTACAGGGTTTAAACATGATTTAATTTGCCATTTTGAGGTTTTTATTACTATCCAACCAGAGGAAAGGATCTGTAGGGTATCGGCCGCAGTCCGCTTTGAAAAATCAAGCAAGAGTCCAAGACAAAAAGTAAGCCAGGGTGGTTAAAAGAGTTAAATAGGATTGGAAATTAGTAGCTGTGGCTGAAGAAATGTATTAACTACTGTTAAAAACTAAGTGATTACAATAAAGGTAGCTGCTATTTAATCAGTTTTTGTGTCCATCATTCATTTGCACAGCTGGAAATATTAATCAGTAGATTACTAAGTTTCTCAGTGAATGTATAATTTAAATAGTTATTAAAGTGAGTTTTATTTGTTTATTTTGATTTATAATAAATCATTTCTGTCCAGTCGAGCCTTACTTAAAAAGGTTTAGGACAGTTCATACAAAAATAAAGATTCTTTGTATTTAAATAAGAATAGTTACATTTTCAGTGTCATTTGTAATGTCAAAAGCAATGTGAACTAATATAAGTATTATATTATAGGAATTGGAATTTCAATGATCATAGAAAAAGATAATTGAATAATCAAACTGTAATTTTGATCCCATGTAACTAAGGTACCTTTAATGGAAGATTGATATTTAACTTCTGATCAAAGCAAGGTACTTACATAGATCAGAACTAAAAATATATACCTAATAATGAGCATAACTAATTATATTATTTATAATGATTGGAATACATTGTTTTGTCAGTTGGATTCCCTTGTTGTTAATGGTATTTTTAGCTGTAATCCCAATAATATTTCAAAAGGTTCAACCAGCCCAGGTCGCTTAGTCTTGTCCTAAACCCATAGACCAAGCTAACAGTGTATAATAATCATTGTAATAAAACAATAAACATTAAATTAGAAATCATAAAACATAAAAATAGGTATAGTAAATATTCTAACCGATACTGTTCAAGCTCTGTTAAAAGTTTCACTAGTTAAGGATGAAATTAAATCCATAAACTAAGTTAACAATCTGAAATCATCTCTATAATAAAATATAAAAATTAGTGTTTTGTAGAATAATCATTATAGTAAAATAGTAAACCTTAGAAATAATGAAAACTAATCAATAAAAGTAGATATTCTATATTATTATCAATTTGACATTGTCTAGTTTCTGATTCTGTTTTTCAGTATCTTATTTAAACAACAGTGGATGACTCTTATTTTCCTTTAGAATAAGATAACTAATATAATATCCAGAATGTTTTCTAAAGAGTTAAGTGGAAAAGTAAGACTACCACAGTTTTATCATGAAGAACCTTATCATAGTAACATAACATACTCTGATTCCTTGCTGTTGGTGACAATAGAATACTGCATAACTTCTGTAACAAATGGTATCAGCTTAGTTGTGGAAAAAATGATGTACTAGCCCCATTGCTAATAGGCATGAAAAATTATTCTAGCCCAACTTTTTCCACTATAATAACTAAATTATTACGCATTGCAAATGTACATGTATATAATATTCGTTGCAGTGACTTTTTACACAGCATATGAAACTAAAAATCATATGATTTATACTACAATATAAGTGATGCAGATGTAAAATTTGTGGGAAGGTTACAGTCTGTATATACGATAGATTAGTATTTCTGAAGTATTTAAAATAAAATGGTTTAATTCAGAATATGTAAAAACTTAAAATCTCTAGGGAAGTGTTCCAGTCCATATATATAACTCAAAACTACCACATGGTATTCTGACAACCCATCATACCTAGGAATTAGGCTGTACAGTTTCATGTGGGTCATCCAAGTCATTTTTCCCTTGTAAATGCAGCTGTTTCATCTTCTATTGATAAAACTTAGCATTAAAAATCAATATTCTAACCTTAGCAAAAAATAATCATGTAGATTAGAAAGCATTATAAATATAAAAGTAAATAATTGGACAATTTAATTTACATGTTGGTGATTGAGTTGTACATATGTATATCAGGCTTATGTTAGATTAGCTTATCATCGACAAACAGGCTACCAGTCTTGCAAAAATTTAAATTACACTAACTATTTAATGATTTGTAAAAAAAATTACAACATGTAGCATTTTTGTGAATTCTAATAATTAAATATATAATTGGATTTTAAATAAATGCACAAATGTCGTGTGAACAGAAATGGCAGTATCAGCTAGTGGACTTTTACACTTCTCGGTACAAGATACAAAAACGGTTTTTGAACATGTAGAAATCAATGGAATACTGAAAAGAAACACCATCTCTACATAATCTTATTATTGTAGTGATACTTATAGTTCATGGCCTGCCCTTAATTTTTTTTTTTTACAAGGTGTAGCAAACCTTAATGCTCTTTTTTCATTCGGTGATTTAGGGAAAAGGTTAATCACATTAGTTAGTGTACAATTTTGGAATTTTTTCTGAAGATTGATACTTTTGTTTATGAAATGTCTTGTTTCAAAAATGTTTGTGAAAGTTATATACATATTTTATAAAAAGAGTAAACTTGTAACAAAGATGTATCATTATCATATAACTAGGTTTCCTACAGTAGTGTGTAATATACAATCAAACAGAAGACTTAAGTTCTAAAGATGTTAATACAAAGCTCCAGTGATCATAAGTAAAAACAAAGGGGCAACAAAAGAAAAAAGAGCCTAGAAGTAAAATCCTTGAAAAGTACCAAAGATATCAGGAAATTATGCTTTACAAATTAGTAATTATTCTTGTGTTTGAGGATAAATCAGAATCTGTTGATTAGCAGAAAGTGAATAGATCCATGTGTCTCATGATTAAAAACTTACATGTTCTTATCTAGTGAAAGGCATGTGTATGGAAAGAATAATGAAAAATAACCTTTTTTTTTTAATTCTTGTAGTTAATGTTTATATGTATTTCTTAACCCTATGCCAGCAGGTCAGTCAATTTGACCAACCTTGTAACCACCATGTAACCATGAAACTATACATACTATAACTCTGAGTGTATGAAGGTTATCTTTAACAACATTTGGCAAGCTTTATTAAACATTACAAGTATATTGTACACAAAAAAATTGTATTTTTTTAATAAAGTGTTTCAACTAAAGATGTGTTTGTGAATTTACAAAGCCATAAATGAGTCAATCTTAGTGAAAGATGATTTTCATGCTAAGAATAAAAATACTGCTTCTCATCTTACAGTTTTTATATTTCATTTGCAGAACCTCTAGAACATTCTAAATGAATATTAAAAGTTTTTTTTCCAGTAAAACTTAATACCTTATCTCATACCTTCTCTACTCTAACACTAACTAGTGAAATCATCAATGTAAAGTAAAATGATAAGTTGAAAAATGAAATAAAATAAAAAAATACCTGTTTTTTTATAGAATGATAGCAGATTACAACAGGCATTTATACTTATTTATCATAACAGCTTCAGGCCTCTAACCTTTTCACAACTTCTTTAATTTAATTTTATTGCTTTATAGTTCTTTGAACTGAGCCTAATAGCATAACAAAGCAATAAATCATCTGGTAAGAACTTAGGGTAAACAAAGTGTGAAGTTAGATCACATGATCGCAGCCTGCCTGCATTACTCAGAGAGATCACAATAATTTTTGTTTTTCCACTTAAACCTTTTTATTTAACCTAATAGGTTTCTAATACACTTTAGCTACTTTTGTTAAATATATATCACAATAAATGAAAAATGTGTATAAAAACAGGAATTTAAGCACTTTCTCTAGCCTTGGGGCCTTTGTACTCAAATGCATGGTATGGTAAGCTTATTTTTATATCACTATATAGGTTGCCTAAAAAATAATTTATGTAGCCTTCAAATATGAATCATGGAACAAAAAAATACATCGGGCAATAAATGAAAGGTTCCAAAACTACTATTATTTATCTGACTTTCTAACTAACCTATAAGTAGATTAGAAAAACTCCGTTACTGCTTGAAGCAATGTCTTTAGTCCAAAAACATCGAGCTTTCCTTGCAAACTATCAGTTTGGCTACTAAAACAAAACAGACAATTGTCTGATTTATCTATTCACAATACACACTTTCTATTGGTTACAAACATGTCAGAAAGAGAATTATAGACATTTTAAAAAACTAATGAGATAAGAAGGGTCAGTGTGTGGGTTGAACAAATATAGTGATGTCTCAGTAAAGCAATAAGATAAGATGAAGAATAATATTTTGGCTTGTCAATATTAGCTATAGTATGTGTTTCTAATTAGTGAACAACATGAAAATCTTAAAAGGGAAGAGAAGAAAATCTGTAAATGAGAAGTAAGAATGCCACTGCATCATGTGACTCGGAGAGGTGTAGATTGAGAATTTATTTAAATATTTCGTTTTGATATTTAAACGTAGATAATATAACGAGTTAAATTATGAAATATGTTTTAATGCCAGGTTGATTAACATACATTAATAGTAAAGTAGTTTAATTAAGTTTTGAATGTAACTGTAAAAATGTGCATTAACCCTCCTTTGTGTATAGGGTTAAAGTATAATTTAATATTGAGAAAACTTTTAGTAATAATATGGAAATGTTTTACACATCAGAGAATTAATAATTTTTACCAAAATTTAGAAATGCAGTATATTAATATAGATAAAATAGACACTTAAAACTGTTATTAACTACCATATAGGCCCAATTATAAAGCTATGTTTTTTATTAATAATTACGCTGTAAAATTTATAGTCGCCCTATGATCGTGGCTGACCACAGACTCTTTTTCCCCCTACTCTAGCCTGTCACATTCCTGAATGTCCAGATAGCATCCCTATATGCATGTGTGCCAGATGTTTGGTCAAGATTATCATTAACTCCAACAACTAATACAACTGCAGGCTGTTCAGTTATTGTATTGATTTTTCAGACCTAAAAAATGATGTTATGATACTCAATTTTTTTCTTTCCCATGGTTTCTGAAAATGAGGGTCACCTTATATTTGAGATTGCCCTATAATCAGGCCGATATGGTATTTATTTGTAATAACAATTGAAAGTATTTCTTAAGGTATGTAAATAAATTGGCTACACTTAACCCACCACCTTGAAGTTGAAGCAACAACTCAAATGTACCAGTAAGTGGGGAGAAAACAACAATGTAATGTGGCATTTGTGTACAATAATAGTGTTGCATTAAAAACATTTTGATTATTATTGTGAATCATTAAATGAATATTACTCCACTTTTTTTGGGTTATAATATTTATCTTAGAAAACTATTTTGTATGTATGCATCCAGTTCATGTGTTTGTGAAATACGGTTTCTTTTAGAGCTGTGAGTTTCTTTGCTAGAGCTGTTGACAAGTGCCACAGTTCAGATAAGGAGTCAGACAAGTGCATACAGACAGCATTAATAGGTTTGGTAAGTTTTGTTTTCTTTCATTTGAGAACCTCAAAACTCGTTTGTACTGATTAACAGTTTATACTATTATATACTGAAAAACATGTAATTAATAATGAAATTTGTAATTTTCGGTTTAATATTTGCACTGTAAAATTATTAGTGCTTATTGCTATCATACATAAAATAAAATAATATATTGATTCATTGAAGTATTACATTTTTACATAAAGTTATTCAGTCCCTGAGCAGGTACAGGTGAATCAGCGTTTCAGATATTATTTCAAATTTACCATTTATTATTTCACTAAAACAAATTTCCAGACAGGTAATTCATAATCTTCTAATTATTAATCACTAGAGTATTTCAGGAAATGTATTTCATACATAAAAGGAAAAACTACTAGTTCAATAAAACCAGAATTTGGTATTAGGATCTATGATGTGATTATTTGCTAAATTACAAAGTCAAAATATTATTTTTTATAACTTTGCTTATTAAGATTGAATAAAAAATTTATTTTTGTGTAATATCTATACATTTTGTCTCAAAAGTATTACTCAGTTGAATATTGTGATACCCTTGTGACTAATGCCAGTTTCAAATATGCTTCTTCTCATTTTATTAACATTATATAATTAGTGCATAAAAATTTATGAAAAAAATCAAATATTAATGTGGGAATATTCTTTTCATAAATTTCTTAAAGAGAGTAGCGTGGTTAGGAAGATAATTAGAAACTGTAGTAGTGTTTTAATTCAATAGATGGCACAGCAATAGCATTGCACTTAAGAGTACTGATAATCTTATACTGAATCCCACTATATACAGTACATACACTACCATTTTGAGTGTCATGATACCATAGAATTGAATGCCTACTTAGACAAAAATAACATACTACTGAGGAAGATTATTTTGAATAACATAATTTTTGGCAGGTTGACCAAATTCCTCCAAATTCATGGCTATAGATAATTTAAACCTTTCTTTTTTATAAATTCAAGAGCACAAATGATAAAAAGTATATATAATGGAGCCATAGAAGATATTACATGATCTGTTATACTTTAAATTATTTTTCAGTATTTATCTTTTTATTCCTCTTGGTTACATGTGATATGCATATATCGTGTAAAAACATGTTCATGGGTTATTAGATATTTAGCCTTTCTGCTGTAATATTTTCTTGATAAACTGAATAAGCAGAATATATATAAATCTGTTACTGAGAGGAAAAAACTGTGTGTGTTTTGTCCTTCATCACTAATGAGTTGGTGGCTTCAGGGGGGGGGGGCTGTTTTGTATGCTAGCACTTGCATATGCATGAGCCCAATAAGAAATTTGTCATTTGAAGCACTAGCATCTTTTATCTGAAAGCATTTGTAAATATTGATTGGCCACCAAAAGCCAGTGAGTTTATAAGTACTTGGTTCATCCATTATTAGCTCTAATTAATCAGGTTATCATTTATCGACGCAATATATTCATATTTGAGGAAATATTTAGACATTTACTGACTTACACCAGCTATTAGAAACTACAAAGTGCATAATTATTTTAAAGTTGCTGAAAAAAAACTGAAAAAGCATATCTTATGAGTTAAATCACTTCTCCAACATTTTCTATATTTGTTTTATTTCAGTAATATTCATATTATAATTTTCTGTAGGTAATGTCTCGCACAGTAATGTGTTTAATGCTCAGTAACCAGTGGTGGTCCTATTGTGTGTTTCTAAGTGTTTGTGCAAAATGGGATGGTTTAATTTTTACAAACTAACCCAAGTTACATTCAGATGTTTATGTTGTGCTAAATTTACAATGACCTCAACAGCATCTGCAAATGATAGTGAGTATTCTTATTCACAAAGGTGGTCAATCAATAGGTTATTGTTACATGATCGGTTAAGGGTAAAATATAATGTATAATAGAGTTGCTGCTTTTCTTTTTCAGATTTCTTAATTTTTCATGGAAACTGTAAATCACCCATTCAGACAGTCACAATAGTTGGAATTTAAAAATTGAATCAATAGCTTTTACAAACTGTCAGATGGTCACATTTTCTGGGAATATTTATTCAGGCAAAGGAGTTGTTTTCCTGACTATTTTACCAAGTAGCTTGAAAAGATGCAAGTCAGAACTGAAAATCTTTGATCACATCATAGCAATTTCTCATAGGGTGTTGGATACTGACCAATTCACCCACTCATTATACCTAATAAAATCACAGGAAATAAGCTCACTTTCCATGTACTAGCAGTGCATTGCTGCCCTTTATGGTCAGAAATCATGAACAGAGGCTATTTTGGTTACATCTGTTTTATTACATGGTCAAATAAAAATCATGTAGTTTATACAACACATTTTACTGTAAGGTTTGAACTACATTATTTTTACTCAAAATTTGGTTTTAGAGTTTAGTATACTGTGTCTAAAAATGTTGTTGAGGATGACTAATTTTAGTGGAATTTGTAGAGACAGAAAGCACGTTTTTTCTGGCCTTTGTCTTCAGTTATATCCAGGATATAAGATGCAAGTAGTAGAATTATCTGCACTTGAGTCTTTATTAAGTATCTAAAGTTTGAATGTGAGTTGCATTCTGAATTGAGGAAAACATATCAGATAATGAATAGCATATTAAGATATTGTTAGATTGATATAAATATGGTTGTACTCGGTTTTAGTCAGCATTCAGATTGAACATTGTCTTAAACACTTAAAAACCCACAAGATAATTGTAGTCATTGCTTAATTACTAGATTTCAAATATATCAAGCTGAATTGTCAAGGAAGAGATTATAAAAACTACTTGAGCTTTCTTGCCAACTTGTATCAGTTCAGTGCTAGAAGGGATAATTTACAAATATCTACATATAGAGAGAGAGAGAGCTCATGTGTAAATGTAATTGAATTATATAATATCAACTTATTATTCCTATTTTGAGTGATGCAATTCTTGTGGGCAAAGAAGTACAATACCTTTTTGTGATTAGTGAATAGGTATAGAATGAATGTCTTTTTATATAAAATTGTTAATTTTCATTCATCAGTGATGATGATGATTTTTAAATTTTTTATTTATAACTCCTAGATACAAAATGTGACTTCTCATCATCCTTGTCATCATGATACAAACTGTCAAATTTCTCGGTCATCTTCTGATCCCCAGCCTTCTAGCTCCAACTGGACTTATGATGAAACACAGCTGTTTGCCAGGGCTTTAGAAGCCTGTGGAAAGAATTTTAGTGCTATTAAAAACGATTTTGTAAGTTGATATTTGTGTGTGTGTATTATGTTAATGGTAAGTAATTTTAGGAAAATTAAATTTTTACTGTTTAAGAACTACAGGAAATTACTGCTTTAGTACCCTTGGACTGTTCTTCTAATGTTCACATTAGTTTTGTAGATGAATACCAGTGCTGAAAATATTAAAGACCACTATTTCCCAATTGACTGGACCCTGACATTGAAATAGACTGTGTTATTATAATTTCACTAGTGTACGCTGTTCTAAATTTTATAATCACTGTACAGTACCATAAGGTATAGATTACACTTGGGTCCTGTTATACAGCCGTCACTATAACGTGGGTTCAGGTATAATGCGAGTAGCTCTTATCTCCCAAAAATTTTAGTAGGCCTACTAGCTGCAATGGCCCCTTGGGATCTGCATATAATCATGGAACTCTATAAAGTTTGACGGCTCTTCATTCACCACACTTAGCAAAGCTATCACTATTTAGATACTTATTGTGTTCAGTTCAAAATCCAATACAAAACCTACGAATATAAGCAGAAAAAGGGATTAACAAAGTGAGATGAGAATAGTCATTTACTTCTAAGAAAAATGGGAAGACCACTGTGACATCACAAGTGCTTGTTTACTGCATTGTTTATTAAACAATGATGATGTGCAGTTTCTAATTGCATTCAATTTTGGATTTTAATATAATTTGTCAGTTTTGGCACATTTTTGACTATCCAGTCAGATTACTATATTTACAGTTGGTGATTATTCGAATCAATCAAATACCAAAATATTAAAAAACATTCACTTTTGCCATGTAAATATTAGAAACTATATATAGTTGGAAATATTAGAAACAAGTCACTCGTATGACTGGAAAACATACCACATGTAAAGGCCTACTGCACATCATCTTCATCACTGAAATTTCTACTGTCAACAACAAGAGAAACGCATACACGATTGCCGAGAAGCTCGCCATCATTAATAGAATGAGAAGGTCTTACAACAATGCCTAATAGCAAAATTACAAGGCCCTGCTGTATTGACCATCAGAAGCCATCTATGAACTGTTTCCTGTGAAATTGAAGAAGGTGAACAGACACAAAAGAAGGAATGACCAGCCCAAAATACAGACCTTGATAAAGCCTTGTCTATGCAATTTATTCAACAAAGAGCAGAGAGAATGCCAATAACCAGACCGATAATCTAGGCCAAAGCAAAGATATTTGCTCTTCAACTAAATGAAGAGAACAACTAATTTGAAGCAAGCAAGGGCTGGTTAAACCATTTTAAAGCATGCCACACCATCACTGAAGTCTCCGTTTGGGGGTAAGCAATGATGAGCAGATGACGAAGCTGCAAGAAAATAGCCAGATACTCTTTGGAAAATCGTGGAAGATGGAAACTACTCTTTGGAAAATCGTGGAAGATGGAAACTACTCTTCAGAAAAAGTGTACATCTGTGATGAGACAGCCCTATATACAAAGATGTTACCAGAAAGAATGCTGGCAACAAAATCCACAGGATTCAAACAGAACAAGAATTACCATCTTGTTATGTTGCAACAAGTATGGACATACACTTATGCTGCTAGCCATTGGGAAACATGCAAAACCTCACTCTTTCCATCACCTTAACTCTTTCAACACGGGCTCGGTCCCTGGGACCGATTCACATAACCTTCTGTACTCGTTTAAAGTTGACATCAATTTAATACTTATAACTCTATATATTGGGTATATCTTCACGAAATTTGACAGTCTTTCAGTTAATATTACAAGTTTTTCACATAAAAAAGTCATATTTCTTAGTGAAGTACTTTTAATAAAATAAAGTTTTGTCCATGAATATATTGAGTATTTGTTTTGAATAGTCCATGTGCAAAGTAATTTTCATGTTAAAATTAAAAATACTTTTCATCATCTCAAAAAATCTCAAATTTCCTTTGTGTAATCCCTAAAACCTCCTAAATGCATTTCAAAGTTTTTTTTCACTAAATCCTTATAGTTTATATGTTATTTTCTCTACCCTAAAATCCCTAAAACCTCCTAAATGCATTTCAAACGTTTTTTTTTCACTAAATCCTTATAGTTTATATGTTATTTTCTCTACCCTAATCTCAAAACGGGATCGGTCAATTCAATCGACCTCGTAACCACCCAAAAAAATTGAAATAAACCTAAATTAACCTTCTTTTCTTTCTAGTATTACTTCAAATTGTAACATGAAACTACATTCGTTTATCCTAAGCAGCTCTAAGTTCGTAACATTATATATCTAATTATAATTAAATTTTATTGTTCTATTGCCTTTTGAACTAACTATGTCTAACTGCTATCCGCGCCATTATAAGTTGTAAATCACTCAGGGAACGTGCAACTCACGTTACGCTATCCAATTACATCACCCACGAGCTGCTCGTGTGCGTGCTACATGAACAATTTTAATTATATTATTATTATTATTACTTATTTTACCTATTCTAGTCTTAAATATCTTACAAAGAGACATACTTTTAATTTTGGTTACATTTATAATAATAAAGAATAAATATGAAAAATAAGAAATAAAGTACTTACCCAATCTTCTTTTTTCTTGCCCTCGATTGTCAATGACAGTTAAGCCTGGTTTGTTTTTAGTGATTATAGTAAAGCACTTAACAATTTATATTTAATTAAATAATACACCAAAGAATATAGACTACTAACATGCAAAAAGTAGACAAATTCACTTACTTCTAAAAATTTTCATGGCTTTCTAACTCTGTGACAAGAGCCGTTAGAAATTTATCCAAGCTAGTCGTTAACTTTCCCACGGGAGCAATGTTGCTACTCAGAGTGACATTGACAGTTATCTGTTCAAAACACAATGTTATACAATATGCCATTTGATAGATGAAAACCTTGACTTTCTATTGGTTATAGGTAATGTATAATGAAACGTAAGAGAGAACTAGCAACAAATTGTGAAGGAGAGGATGTGACAAGTGAGTGTGGCAGGAGGGATCTGATTTTCTCTTTGATAGCTCTGTAACAAAACAAAATTGATGGTCATAAAACTTATGGTCTGTTTGAGCAATAATGATTTTATAGAGAGCATTTTAAATTTAATTTCGTACATTTTTGAGGGGGTGGTGGATAAAATAGGGATGATGACATGCTAAGACAACATTTGTCATGTGTGTTACACTAGTGGAAATTCGGGATTTTTTATATATTTCCTTTTAGAATTAAGAACTTAAAACTTTTATACTATTAAAATATGGATTATTAGCTAAGAGTTTATGCTATTCTAATTGGTATAACATAAACAAAAAGTAGTTTAATAAAATTCTGAATGTAAGACACTAAAACCTTGTGCCATGCACAGTAAGGGCTACCCGTGCTGATAGGGTTAATATGAAGACATTTCTATTCCTTTACAAGAGCAATACAAACGTATGGATGAACTAGTTTCATATTTCATCATCAACACTTTGTTCCAACCATCAGATGCTATCTCAAGATGCAAAAAACTAGAAGCAAAGGCCATCTTACTACTTGACAACTGTGGAGCTTACCTGTCAGATGGAAACCTCCGATCTAGAGATGGTAAAATCGAGGTGGTCTTTTTACCAAAAAATACAATGTCAAAATAACAGCCATTGGCCTAAGGAATCATTGCAACATTTAAGAGGAATTAATGCTGTTTTCTCGTTAGGATGGTTATAGTCAGTAAGCGTGATGTATGCTTCTTTCTAAAGGAAATGAATCTCAAGGAAGTAACTTATATTGGTGGGAAAGCATAGGAGATCATCTCAACAAAATGTATTCATGGTTGCTGGAGAAAGGGACTAGAAGACGTATTTGACAATGATAGTGACAGTGATGGAGAAAATAACTTGTGTAGATTCACCCAAGATGAGATTGAGAAAGCTGAAAAGCAGGTGATAGAGTATGGCAGTTTCAATGACAATGACTCAGCAAATGTGAGGAGAATAGTAGGTAATAAACTTGATGATGACACCACCTTGACCTGTCTTATAGTTGATGACAACCAGTTAACTCATGAGACTATGACAGATGATGACATTATCCGAAGTATCAGACAAGAAAATAGCCAAGAAGATGACAATTCAGATGATCAGCCACCACCAGCAGTATCAGACATCGTTCAGGGCATGGAAGTAGCTTTTAAGTGGATGGAAAAGCAGGAAAATGCTACAGCCAGAAACATTATCTGCCCGAGGAACATTCTGTGTTTGTGTAAAATGTGAAGCATCGAAGACATTGAGACAGACTAAATTGACTTTTTTAAGAAATGAGTTGTGTTGCCTTATTATGGTGGATGTGCATGATATTTTATATTTAATATTTATATTCATGTATTGTAGACATTATACTTTGGGTGAATATAGAGGTGTTTCCGATTTTTTTTCACATACACTTTCCATGATAACTATGTTCATAAATCTTCTGTAAATATTTATGAGATCCTTATGTATATTTAATTTGATTATGTCTATATCGCTTGTGATGTTGTAAATAGATTGTTTTCAATTTATACAGTTGATTCATAGTTGTCTGCTTATTATTTAGATTTTGTTGCAAACATTGTCAAATTTGGTGATATGTGGCCTTTCACTGTAGTTGATACATTGTATCTAGGTCATCATTAACCATAATTCACCTGGCTTGTATACCACAACAATCCGCAGTGGGACTGGGCTCTGTTGTCTGATGTTGGGTTCCTTTATACAATGGCCCAACTGTAAGGCAGTCGTGGATCTTGGCTCCCATCATTCAAGTTATAACAGAACCCGAGTGTATACATGATACGGCTGATTTGTGGGAATACGAGTGCCCCGATATTAAACTCCTGTAGCTTGTGGTGTTGTGTTAAATAATTCTCATTAATTTTCTAGATTAAAGCATATTGTTAAAGAAAGTTACCTTTTTTTGTGTGTTTTGTCATATAATAGCTATTAGAGAAAGTAACTCTTGATCTTTAAAAAAAAAACTTCAAACCTGATCACCAAAGTATTTTTGTATATTTGTTTCAAGGTATAAAAATACTAACTAGTATAGAATATTAACTGCCATTAGTTTATGCAATGCTTTATTAAATTTTTTGATTAAATATCAAAATACCTCAATAAACATAATTCTAGCATACTTCTAAAGCCATGCAATGCTTTCCATAGTCATTATAATTAGTCATATAAAGTAGGAACGTTTCAATGATCTAATAATTTTTTGTTTGCTTGATGATAAGATTGAAACCTTTATAATGAACATAGTTAGCTTCCTTTTAATATAAATGTAATGGGGTATAAATTTGTTCTTTTACATTACTACCTCCATCAGGGAAATCAAGATATGTGATAAGTCTTAAATCACTGAGGTTTTCTAGCACATCAGCTAAACTTCCTCACCACCCTCCTCATATACAGCGAAGTTTAGTTAGTTATGCCATTCATTTTTATGCTAGCTTAGTAGAAACTGAACTAAATTAGTTGTGTTTTTCAACTGGAAAGTTTGAAAAAGCTGCTGTTGGATAACATTAATATGAAGTTAACCACATATGTTTCATTAGTTTTATATATAGTCACTATATTTGATTTTTTTTTTTTTCAATTTCTATAGAGTCCCTGTAATAACAACTGATGTTGAGAGATTCACCAAGTAAACTATACATTGTAAAATGTTGTTGTAAGTCTACAGAATACTAGTAGTTAGCATTGTACATAGTGTTCTTGTTAATCAGTTCAAATCATTTCAACTTTCATGTTTATTGGCTTCAGATTATTGTTAAGTTAGAAAAGTATTTACAAAAGAAGATTAAACATTACATTTAAATCTGTCTTGTTTTTGTAAGGCCAGTTTCTGTATTTGGTCCCATATTTAGGACAGTTGCATTAAGGAGGAAGTAATATCAAAATCAAAACTGTATAAAAGAAATCTTTGTAAGTAATATAAAAATAAGCTTAAACTAAGCTTGTCTAGTAAGACAACATCCAATTCTGATAAATTATTTAGGCTGAGTCTGATAAGTAAGTTTATAGTGGTGAAAAGGGGTGAAGTTTTGTCTGAAGTATTAGTTAATTTTTTATAAAACAACAACATAAAAGCTCTATAAAAATATAAATGTTGTAATTAAAGCTACTATATTAGGCCATGTGAGTGGCATATGTGTATTGCTGAATTGAATTTTTCCCAGACAGGAAATTGCTAACATATCTACTGATAACATTAAATCTGATTTTCTGAATGTTTTATCTTCTAGTTACCATGGAAACCTGTAAAGAGTATTATAGAATATTATTACCAAGGGAAGGAAAATCGAGCAAGTACCTGTTGTAAAACACCTATTAGTATGTTTTCTCAAGTAAGACCAAAAGTTAGTGTGGTATTTAAGATGTTTGTTTTTTATAATTGCTTTTATTATTGTTATGTAGATGTTTTTGTATTGAACTTATCTGTCACAAATATATAGTTATGCTATTATGTATTCAAAGCTACAATTAAAGTATTAAAGAAATGCATATTTCTTTGTTTTTAATGATTGTTTGATGTTCTTTTAAGTAGTAGTTAGTATTTTTATTTTATTAACACATTCAGAGAAATAGTTAGATTACAATGTTTCTTCCTGTGTTGTTTGTGTGAACAACATGTACAGCGGGCCCATAAATTAAGAAGAATTCTTGACAAAAATTACACTTAGAATGTATGTAATTTTTTTTCTAGATTATTTCTATATATCACTATCAGGCATTGACAAGAAAACTGAAAGTAAAAAAAGAAGTGTTCTTCACTAGTTTAACAAAATATTAGCCCATAAGTTTACTGCCAGTGATTTGTCATATGGCTTTTGGCAAGTGAACTTCTAAGGGGGTAATGTTCTGGCTAATATATGTTGCCACAATGGTAAAAACTTTTACTACAATAAAAATTTGGAGGAATTAAATCCTCACACTGTTATGAGTGAGATACAAGTAAACTGTGGCATTTTTCAAGAAACTAAAGAATGGTATTCTTTAGCAATTTTAAGGTCATACATATGAATAAATTAATAATAAAATACATAGTATTAATTTCAAACATAGACTTGTGATTAGAAAAACTGAACCAAATAAAACTACTAATTACAGCTTTCATTGCATCTAATCATACTGACTCCATTTTTTTAATATACAGCTGATATGATCATCTTTGATATGTATCTTTCTATATTATGTCTTACTCGTACTTTAAGTATTGTATGTTTTGTAGTATTTCAGAATATAACAACTGTAGGAGTTAGTGCCACCAACCTTGTTGTCATAAAATTACCACTGCACAAGTAAAAAAGATTATTTGTATTTGATGTGAAATGCAACATAGACTCTTTTTTGAATTTTAATCTTGATTAGTCAAATACAGTCATACTTGACTGAAGTTGTGACCCAATGGCTGCTCATATTTTTCTGTTGTGGTACAGTTATAATAGCTATATTGCTTTTTTTGTCCAGTTTTCATACATAACCTCTTGAGTTTCAATGCTGCCTTTTCCTTACAAGTTCCTTGTGTAATATTAAACCATAATATAATCTGAGTCTTCCAGGCATCAGTTAAGAATTTCACGTGTCAGAATTCTATTAACATTGCTTGGCAGTCGATAGATAGGGTAGTGCCACCAAATATTGATCACTTTTCAGAAGGAAATAAAACTTTCCAACACAAGATACCATACACTCAGACCACAAAAATATGCTTAGATTGAGCTTTAGAATTTACAAAATAGAGATATCCCAAGTATTTAATGGTGTTAGAAAACAAAGGTATAGGGATCAACTTGGCACCAGGACCCACCCAGAAAAGAGACCCCAGCTGTGTTATGCAAATTGCAGTATCTTGTAATAGGTGAGAATCCACAATCACAAAAGTCAGTGACAAAAGCTGTTCACATGTTACAGGTACCAGTATGCAACATAATCAAGAAGGATCTCTGTCTGAAAACAAGGCCGACAAGGTATGGGTTTGCCATGATAATGCTTCCAATCATGCCTCCCATTCTGTTGTCACATACCTCAAGCAGCTGGAGAATGAAATACTTATTCATGCTATTCCATACAGAAACATACCAGTCAAGTTGCTGAATACAATGCTTATGGATTTCTGTGCAATGGCACTGTTGATATGGCCACTAGAAAAACCGTTGCCCTCACACACTAAAAGGATTATGTAAAGAAATCAAAAAGTGTATGATTTGAATATGAATGCCTTACAGTGAAGCTTTTTGCAATGAAACTTCTGCAGGGCTGTTGTCAAAACTCATGGTCATGAGTAAAGCATGACCAGGCATAGTAAAATAGATTGTAACAACAAGTTAAGGCCCCACAATTTTATCCCTCTTACCACAGGCAGGTCAAAGTGCATGTCACAACTTTTTAGAGAGTTACATTCAAAATTTAATTAACCTACTTTATTGTCATAGTATATGAATACACTTGGCATCAAAATGTAGTTTCGTAAATCAAATTTTAATATTATACAAGTTTTAAGTTCTTAATTTTATAAGGAAATATTTACAAATTCCTCAATCTCCACTAGAATGAGAACTGTGACATTTGCTCTCTAAATCTTCCTTCTTTTCTAACTTATTTACCACACCTCCAAGAAATACAGAATTTAATGTAAATAACTCATTATAATATAGTTATTACTCAGGTAAGGCATCATTTTATTTGTTTATGGAAACATAAACTAGAAAATCAGACCCACTTGCCATGCTCACCTGTCCCATCGTCTTGTTCACAAATTGCCAATAATTCTCTTTGATGTTTAACCCTTTCAAGACGGGTCACGGGTGAAAGGCCATGTCATCTCTTTGGTTGACTCGCATTCAAAATTTTATTGAACTACTATTTCATGAACTTATGTCAGTAACTTTGGTATCAAACTGTAGATTGTAATTCAAAAGGGAGCATTTCCAAAAATGGAAAAAGGTGGGCAGGGTGCCACTGTGTTTGATTTATTACATGAGCAATATCTTTGCAAATTGAAAAGATAAGAGGCTCTTATTTTTACATTCTAGCTTGTCAATATCGGTAATTTGAGTTTCTAATTCATATGAAACTATAGACTTAGTATTTTGACTTCACAAACATCTAATTTCAACCAGTGCTGTATTCAACATACCACGTGACACACAAAAATCGAGGTTTATCTGTGTTTTTTAATATTTGCTTTTAAGTTAAGAAATTAAGTAATACATAGTACTAAAATATCCAAGCCTGTTAAAATGGCTGAGAAAGCCACTAGGGGGACATTCTGAGCTTCTTATAGGTTATTCATGTCGAATATAGAAGAAAGTGTATATACCTTGCCTGGCTAACAACACATAAGTTGCAATGATGCAGCACACATGCACTCATGTTACTTTATCCAATAACATAAAACTGACCTTTGGTCTGTTCAAAAATAGCTCGTCTTGGCTTTGCTTTAGTAAACTAATATTTTGTAAAATACAGTCTCTTTGCCACAGTTGAAGCTAAAGCTTTAAATAGTTCTGTTTTTTGTAAAAAGTCCACACAGTCTGGTTTAGTTACTTTAGAATCCAACTGACAATACATATATTATACATTATATATGTATATAGATTATTGCTATTTTGAAATATATTTGCTTATTTTTCTTAAAACATAGAACAGTAAATACAGGAGTAAAGCAAACAATTATCTCTTCTAGTTATGACCTTTGTAGTTGGTTGCTGCTTGATGTAGGTTGCTAAGCCTTTAAAAATTGTGCATGTGGAGGATATGAAACAAAATGTTTTTTAGGTTTTATACATATATTTGAATAACTAAAAAGTCATAAATTAATACCATAGAATTCCACTATAATATATCAAGCTTAGTAACTAAGATGTATATTAGTGTAAAAAAATATGAAATTTTGAGCAGACCAAAGACACACCCTACCTCGTTGAAATATTGGTTCAAAAGAAAGAAATGGCCCAATATAATCAGAATAATAAATATATATAAATATATAATGTTATGAGATTTAAGCTATTTAGTCTAAACATTTATGTTTTCATGTTATAATCTTTGTTCATTCTAGAGTGAAAGAAACATAATTTATATCTATTTCCTAATTTTTTATGGTGGTTACGAGATCGGTCAAATCTACCAAACCCATACACAATTTCATTACTGAAAATAACAGATAAAATACAAAGTTTTTTTCTTAAGAAACATTTGATAACTATCTGGACATCATAAAGATTTTGCATATGAAATTTCAAAATTTTCTGATGCATAAAAGTATTTTTAATCTTAAAATGAAAATTACTTTGCATGTTAGATTGACATCATGCAAAAAGTTAAAAAGCCATCAGAAAAACATTGCTTTACAAACCTTAAGACTTAATAAAAATATATATATATTTTGCGTATGAAAGCATTGTAATGTTTACTGATAATGTACGAAATTTCATTAACATTCACTTACTAATTTAAAAGTTGTAGCATGAAAACTATAACAAGCAAAAATGGTTACGAGGTCTGAGACCGAGCCCGTGCAGAAAGAGTTAATTATACGAGACAAACATTCTCAAGAGTAAAAATACCTTCTTGGAGTAATGGAGTTATGTCTGCCTGATACCTTGATCCAACTCTGATCTCTCCTTTGTCTGCTAAAAGTGTCTTCTGTTGGGGGTCAAACACTAGAGTGTAAAAGAAAGCATCCTGCAAAAACAAAAAGTACATCAAACAGTCGTATAATAAAGAAAACTGTAAATGTCAACCAGTAAGAGCCATAAGAAAGGACAGCATAATGAACAGTAAGCTAAACAAGAATAAAAAAATAAGTAAAACACTGAGATGTGGAAAAGAAGAGTTGTCAAACAGTAAGCTGTATCATAATACAGTTCACATACTTGTCAAGACAAGGTATTCATGGACTTTTCCTTAACTTGTTAGGGATGAACAGCCAGATTTTAAAGATGTAAACTATATATATATATATATATATATAT